CTTCCCTCAGGATGAGGGTTTCTTCCTTGCAGCAGCCTTCCTTCTGGTTCTGCTCTCTGGGAAGAAGAACAGCTTTTCCCTCTGCTCCAGATCTTTTATTCCATGCCCTCCTCTTTTCCTATTGGTCAATTTTGGCTCCAAAACCTCTCAGGGGCTTCTGGGAGTCGTAGGCCCAGCCTCACCTACAGCTAGCCAGGCTTCCTGGGCCTAGTAGGCCTCTGGTGGCACAGCCCAGATTATGACAGGTCCACTCTGATCAGCAGTGGTGTTTCAGTTAGTTTGTGGGAGTGTTCAATAGTGTGGTTGCCTGATCTGCTATCAGAAGCAATGCAATTTGTTGTTTTGCGCAGAGTCCCACTCAGTCATGGCTTTTGCCTGATTGTGTCAAATGTCTCCAAAATCAATTTTTAAACTGACTGAACAGGGCAGTTGCTGAGAAAAATAGGGGCTTTGTGCCTACTAGTGGCTGCCCAGGAGTTTGTAATCATCAACATTAGTAGGACAGCCTTGATCTAGATGGCCCCGGGCTAGCCCAATATAGAAAGATCTCAGAAGCTAAGCAGAGTCAGCCTTGGTTAGGAGACCATCAAGGAAGCCCAGGGTCACTATGCAGAGGCAGGCCATGGCAAACCACCTCTGTTCATCTCTTGCCTTGAAAACCCTACGTGGTCACCATAAGTCAGCTGTGACATGATGGCAGTTTCCACCAACATTAATAGGAGATGGTCTTGGAATCTGTTCTTTCAAGACCTGGTTCCTCAGTTAATTTGGGTCTTAGATACACAGCAGGCTAACCTTCTCTTGAGCTGTTTATTCAAACCTTGCTCTGGGACTGAGAACCTGCATGTGCAAAGAGAAGAATGTGAAAGAAGCACTTCTGTAAATTGTAAAGTGTGTTTTGAAAAGGATGAGGGCCAAATTGGGCTTTATAGAGCAGCCCCATCTTCCTCATCTGAGGATAGCCAAGGGAGCCTTCCTCCAGCCTTCCTGAGTCAAACTATCTCACGTTGGATCCTCCTCCAGAGGCTGTCAATGATAGGATGTTTTGGAGGCCATTGTTTAATGTGCATGTGTGTAAAGTGCCATCAGGCAGCAGCTAACACAGGGTGACCCCTTGTGGGGTTTTCAAGGGAAGAGATGTCTCCAGGATTATGTAATTGGAATTAGTGGGACTGGGAGGTGGGGAGCGTCTCACCACCTTTGGGGCAAGAGGGTCTGTGTCACCCGTTGCTGATCTCCATCGCCCACCGTCCAGCAGACCCTGGCCTATTTGGTTTAAAAGGCCGGTAGGCCTCACACTGCAAGCTGCCATCGATCCCTCTGTTCTCTCTCCTTCCTGGCCTTCAGAACACGACAGGCTGGTGGAGAACTGAATTTTCTCTGCCTTTGAAGAGCCCATTGATTTTAGTTTATACACGCTCAAGGCCCTTTGTCCCCCCCCCTCCCAGCTTCGGAAGCCGGCCTCCTCTTCTTTAAGAGCCCGCTAAGCCCAGGCCTCTGAGCCAATGATTTTGGTGACGCACTTGATTCTCGTTTGTCCCAATGACATGTGAACCACAGTTTTCTTCAAAGGAAGGGTGACAGCTGAAAGGGAAAGGAAAGCTAACAGCTTCCTAAAGAGTGGGCAGTTTAATTGGCTACCACGTTTCCCAAGGATGAAAAGAATTCTAGGAGCTGTGTGCTTCTCTCTCTCTCTCTCTCTCTCTCTCTCTCTCTCTCTCTCTCTCTCTCTCTCTCTCTCATATTATACAAGGAAAATATACTGTTCTCTATTGTGTTTATTTTTCCTGTAATAAAAGTTGGCTGGCTTTTCCTGCGCTCCACAGAAAATAGAGAAGCCAGATCAAGATGTGTTTCCAAAGATGTGTTATGAAAACACAGAGCCTTATGAATCTTACGATTGTTTTGGTCTAGGATTAACACTGGGTCACACCAGCACTAGCCTAGTGATAACACTTGAAGGCCCCCTTCCACGTGTGCACAAGTGGAAGGTGCTTGAAACAGCACATGGACTATTTTTTTGCAAGCTGCAGCTATGTGGTTTCAGAGAACTGTGCCAGTTGCCTTTCCGTTCCCTTTCTCTTCTGAATGTTTAACTGAAATAGTGACACTTTTGACCACTGTGCTCCATAAGCAGATGGAATTTCTGATAACTACTTATGACCTTGGCCTGCAGACTGTCACCTTCTCATTCCATTTATTGTTCCCTCCAAAGAGACGCGATAAACACTTGCCACTTGGGCCCAAATGGCACAGGACGTTTGTTATGCAGCTGCCCAGGTGGGGCATGTAATACGTCACCGTGGGCCACTTTGGGTCAGAAAAACAGTCCGGGGGGGGGGGGTGGTGGTAGGCAGGAGCACCTCCTCTCCTGCACCACAGTCCCAGCCCAAAGCCCCACAGCACTTTTAGAAGGAGTTCTCCACAGGTGGATATCAGTCCCCGTGGAGTACTAAGTTAGACCCTGGGCCTGTCGAGGTCAATATTGCTCACACTCAGGGCTATTTTTGGGCAGGAACGCACACAAACGGAGTTCCGGCTGGCTCCCAAGTTGGCCACACCCAGCAGGAACTCATTAACATAACAGGCCACACCCAACAGCAGAAACTCATTAGGATTGGCTACACTGGGATGTCTGGCCTAACATGCAAAGGGTTCCTGCTACAAAAAAAGCCCTGGGTTTTGACAACAAGGTAAACAAAATAAGAAGCAAAAGGTGGGTGTGGCTAGATGACCACACTTCTGGCAACATGGGGGTGTGGCCTAATATGTTAATATGATGTGCTATCAGGGGTGTGGCCCGATATGCTAATGAGTTCCTGCTGTTGGGTGTGTCCTATTATGCTAATGAGTTCCTGCTGGGCTTTTTCGACAAAAAAAGCCCTGCTCACACTGATAGGCAGTGACTCTCCAGGGTCTCGGAACGGAGTCTTTCACCTCAGATCTTACTTGATCCTTTTACCCGGAGACGCTGGGCACTGAAGCTGGGACCTTCTGCATGCAAAGAAGCAGCTCTGCCACCGAGCCTTATCTCTGGTGAGCAGAGTGCCCTCTCCTAGCTATGCTCCTCAGGTCCCGCTATGCCTTTCGTATCTCCAGCACAGCCACTCGTATGCCAAGTTTGAACAATTCTGCATGCTTCCTGGTTGCTTACACTTTACAAGCTCCAGCAAGAAACCCACCCCTCTTACCAGTGTAACTAAACCACCCAGGAGGTTTCTCTCATTGGCATTCGCTGTCCGCAGGAATGTGGTGAATTCTGCAGAGCATCCCTCCGCATTCCTCATTCAATAATCTGGTAATTGTGTGTTTGTTTACTTTATTTGTACCCCACCTTTCTCCCCAGTGGGGACTCAAAGTGGCTTAACATCATTCCTCCATCTTAACCTCACAACAACCCTGTGATGTAGATTAGGCCGGGAGCCTGTGACTGGCCCAAGGTCACCCAGCAGGCTTCTGTGGATGCATGGGGATTCGAACCTGGGTCTCCCAGCTTGCCACTGTGACTACTACAGCACAATGGCTCTCAGTCTTGTGCTGGTAAGTGGGAGTACATCTCTCAGCAGCATCTCTCAGCAAATTGCTGTGGTATCATTTAGAATTCTTCTGTAGCAGCATCTAGGATTCAAAATTATAAGCTGGGGGAAGTTTAGGCAGCTCAGCCATCAGACGTGCTGAGTTTCCTTGGGTGCAATCCTTAATGTGCATAGTAATATCGTAGGTAGATAATGTATGCCCCTTTTGCTTGTTAAGAGTGTATAAAATTGGCAGGTAATGGCTACCTTGTTGAGTTCCATCTTGAAATGGGACTGAGGCTATGAAATGCCTTTTGATATTCAGAAGGGAGGACTTGGGGCGGGAAATTCCGCTCAGTTCCTGTGGTTAAACCAAGCTGGCTGTAGCCAAGAACCTGGATGAATTGCTAAAGCTGGAGAAAGGTGTCTGTGTCTCTCTGCCAGGTTCTTTAATGACAACTGCGGTGTTCAAATGGGACCATTACAGGGTAATTGAACACACAGCAGAGGCTAACTTCACAATGCATAGCCTGG